ATAAAGTCATCAGTTAAGTGGGTGGGAAGGAACTGACTCAAGCATGAAAAAAGGTACATGTTCATTGGCAAAAACTTGCCAATTGCCAAGTGTCATTTGTTTTTATTTTGTAGCAACTACTGTTTTGTTTTTACGCGTTATAGACTACGTCCTGGGGACAATGTACATGTTTGTTAGTAAGTTACCTAGAGTGATTAAGGCTCTATGTTGTCTTGTATAGAACTAATTAGAGGTTAACCATAGTGGTAAGCGATTTGGGAGCATCTATAGCACTACTGAATCAGTACTGATATTGCGGCCGCAATTATTTAGGGTCACTACTGACATCTCACACCCATCAGCTACTGAACTGTGGAAGGCAGTACAACCTGTGCCTGTACTAAGAGGATGTTAAGATCCTGGCCAATTTCGAAGTACACAATCATCAGAAAGTACAATGCCGTCCAATTGCAAAAAGAAATGATTGAACTTGAGAGGGGAGAGAGGGAAAGAAGAAGAAGAAGAAGAAGATGAAAGAAAGAAGAAGAAGAACATGAAAGAAAGATGAAGAAGAATATGAAAGAAAGAAGAAGAAGAAGATGTACAGCAGCGAAGACCGATGAGAATCCCCTTTTCTTCACCAACCACTCCCCTCCGCCATATCTCCTCCCCTCTTATTCAAATAAGAAACAATAATTATAATGTTGAATGGCTGAACCAGAATCAATGTCCGAGTCCCTCTTCCACATGAGGTCCACCATAGCCATGGCCACCCTTCTCCCTTCTCCTTCCATGGTCGAGGCTATGGCGGACTACCAGGGCACTGCCCTGCTGTGCAAGGGACAACACAAAGCAGCTATGGCTGCTCTATCTCAGGCCGCCATGCCTGACTCTGTGTGAAGCTTCTTGGTGTAGCTCTACCCCAACTGGGGTCTTCCAGATGCAACACCCACCAAGGTGATGAAGATGGCCTCCTCCATAGCCAGGTACGCACCTCTGGCGCTCCCCCTTCTTAGTCCTGGTCTTCCTCCTCCTCCTGTCCTTGCTCCTCCCCAGCAGCGCTTCTCTGATGCTAGTGCTGCTCCAGCCAGCGCTCTAACCAGTGTGTCGCCAAACTTGCACACCGACAATGAGGAACACCTCGCGCCTCCTGGAGATATAGCGGCCTGCTTGCCACTTGGCGAGTGACTTCCTAGGCCGTGCAGCCTCCAAGCAACTGGTACCTCCTCCCTTTCGGAGGGAAACATCATTGCAGACTCTGATATTGCCCATACAGGCCCTAGACTGGATGGACTGGTACCCGGCTAGACCTAGCCTACAGCTACTGGGCCTCTAAAAATATCCTTGTCTTCTTCTGCTCGGCCTCGAGTACCCGGCACGTCTACCTCTACCCGGTGTTGGTACCGGCCAACCTATTACTGGAGTGTTTTTCCGCTGCTTCAAGTGTTGCGGGCCTCCTTCCCCGCCACTTGAGTGTTTTCCCCCCGTTGCAACCCTCAATGCCACGGCCACAGGTAAGTACCGGCCCTTTGGGCCTTCCACACGGACAAGTACCCTCACGGGTCTCATACACACTGAAACGGATAAGCACTCAGACAGGCACGCAGACCAGCAAGCATGCACACACTCAGACTTCTCAGCAACAAGCGGGAAACTCCGCAAGGCATGCATTCCAATGGCAAAACTCGGAAATCAGCTCTGTGTCTCAGTCTGTGTTTGACAAGTCCTAACAAGTATCTGTTGTATACGAATGATTGCTGGAGGCAGGAGGCTGATGACCGAAGATTAAGTAGGAGAGAGGCTAGGCAGAAACTGACAGTGTTCCAACAATTGGGACCAGACGGAGAGGACGAGAGGGGAACTGGTGAGCGAAGGTCAGCAGTGGCCAAGAAAGTGCCGCCGTGAGAGCTGGCAGTCAGAGTTAGAAGACTGAGGCTGCATCGAGTCCGATGGCAGGGTCTTCAGTGAGGCAAGCATTTCAGCCTACTGTGGTAGATCAAGAAGGGGCAGATGCTACTGGCTGTCGCCAGAAAAAAATAGAACTAGTCAATGTACGAGAGAAGGAGAGACTGTCCTATGGCTGGAAGAAGAAGGGACACAATCTGTACATTGATGATGAATGGAATGAGGAGGTAGCCAACAGCATCCGGGAGATGGACTGAACAAAGCATGGATAGAGAAGCAGGGAGACGGAGGGCTAGCTAAGCTGGCAGCTCAAAGGGGCCAGAACAATGTCAAGGGAAGGCCAAGTCCACAGCCACAACAATTCCACAATGGGTGAAACAGGGGATTGACAAACAGGTTTGGCAAGTGTCTGAGATGCGGTGAGTGAGAACATATCAAGAAACGCTACCCAAAGCAAAGTTGGGCAAATGAGACTAGCTAGGAGCAGCCCCTTCTACAACGTTTGTAGAGGTAGGAGAAGTAATCCTGACCTGGCTAAATGAGTCTCCCTCAACCTTGTGAAACGGTTTTCACCTTTTCGCAGTCAGATGCGGGCGCTAGAGTTCGATCCCCAGACCTCACCTTACCCATGTACAGTATCGAGTTGACCCGAGTGTTTGAACCCGTGACCTGTGTTTCGATAGTTGGTTGTTTGTCTGTCGTAGGTCTGTGTAGATGTAGGGGTTCGATCTGTAGGTCTGTAGAGTAGGGGTCACAGCTCTGTAGAGGTCGTAGCTGCTACAGTCCTGGAAGGTCGTAGCTGCTACAATATTCGAAAGGTGAAGTCCACAGACTTCCGGAAGGTCCGGAAGTGGCCTTTGGAAAGTGTCTCACGTTTAGCCAGAGGCAAGTGGGCAAGTGGGAAGCCAATCTACGCTGAGTCGGTAGTGTGACTGCGTCGAGTCGGCAGTGCAACCCAATGCAGTCAGCGGTACTGGTTCCAGTCAGTCGCAGTCCTGTCAAGCAAGTACCGTGTGGGACTGTGTGCACCAAGGGCCTGGTGGAAAGGGGCAGACCAGCGGCAAACCGAAGCATAAATCAAGAGCAGCGCCCAGCAATTCATTCATTCGCTGCGTAAGCCATGCGGAAGTGCTGCTACAGTGTCTTGTGCGAAGGTGGTCTGCAGGTTGCCCGAAGTCGAAGTGGGCTGAAGAGCGAGATCGTAGCCATAGTCAGTAGGGGTAGACCGCGAAGAGCGAGATCGTAGCCATAGTCAGTAGGGGTAGAGCGGCCATAGCCGCTGTAGGAGGAAGATAGGCTTTAGTGTGTGTGTGTGTAAGAGAGAGAAGTGTATGGAGTATTCAGGGTGATCCGGAGTTGAGTATATGCAGACGGCGGACACGGTGACGTGAGTGGTGTGTGCAGGCGCTGATGCGCCATAGCTTGTTGAAGCGAGTTCGCATCTAAACTGTGTTCTCGGTTGTCGTATCTCTGAGCTTTTGAGTGGGCGCTGTGCGCCAGTGTGAATCTCCATCTGTTTGCATGTATGCGAAGTGGAAAAGAAAGCGAGCCTGATTGCACTTGTAGAGAGTGTTGGTGATGGCTATTGAGTCTTCTTGACCTTGCTATTACTCCACAGTCACAATCTGACCATGAGATGCGCTGCTTTTGCAGGGCGATTGAGTTTGTAGGAGAGTGAGGAAGAGTGGTTTCATAAATACCTCGTTGCTTTTTTGGTGACAATGCAAGGGGTTCTAAAGGAGAGCTGATTGTTGTGGAAGTAACTGTGGATGGCCGTTAAGCAGGGTCTTAACAAAATTCGGATGAACATGTCCGCTTCTTCCTCTCTGCCTACGGTTTACTGGGCAGCTCTGTTTGACGATATATAATTTGTGCTTATGTGAAGAGACTGCACGTATTGAGTTCAGAAGGTAAGTAGAACTGTAGTATCTACGTTAGCCAACAAGCAGCAAATCTCTGGTAAGAACTGGATTGAACCACCAGTACCTCTGAGCTCCTTTTGCCGAGGTGGGTTTCCTCTGCGTGCCAAAGAAAACGAACCCCACCACGGAGTTGTTTTCCTTTCTTCCTTGCTGGCACCACCGCAGTCATTATGGTCGGCTAGCACTGTCCATCCGAAGAAGTGGAACTGGCGCATTTTCATGCTCAAGATTGTTGTGCAAGGTACTACTGGTGTTTAACGAAGAAGTTTGTACCTTCTCCCGTTGGGAAGGCAAGATTAGGCACCAGCTATCTTTTTTGGTGAGCAATGAACTTCCTTTTGGGGGATCTTAGGAATGGCCAAGCGGCAAGTTTGTGATTGTACATTTTTACTTGGCACTTAGTTGTACATTTAAGTGTACATCTTAAGTGCTCATTCAGTTGTGCAGTTTTTACTACTACATGTACATTTAGTTCTGCAGGTAACCATACATTTAGTACTTGTTCTGTTCTGTTAATTGTGCATTTAATTGCACAGTGGATTGGGCATTTCATTGGAAATTTGATTCAAATTGATTGTGCTTTCTTTGGGGGGACCGACTTTTAGCCGGATAAACTTCCGATAAAGCAACAACCTGCAAGTATGTTGCGAGTAGTCAGGCTCGCCGCCAAAGTCGGAACATTTCAGGAAGCAGGGTTCACACACTGTTTGTAACCGAACCGTGCGAGATGGTCGGCCATCACATGGCTCTCCAATCTGAGTAACGTTTGGCGTTCCTCACACAATGGAATTGGTTCTCCAGCGTTGCATGCTTGGAGTCATCCATCGTCAGAGGTTGGATGCATTGACCTTTCTGCAAGTGCTTCACGACTTTGAAGGGTTTGCTTTCTAACTCGAAGCGAAGGTAGGTGTATGTTTGAGAGTGAATGCACATTTAAGATTCCTTGGCGAGTTGCTAGCTAACCATCCTTATCCTTGGATGTCTGCTTGGCCGGTTAAATGAAATGCGCTATGCTTGGAGGAATGGACAACTGGTCAAAACCAAATTAACTGCACATTGTTTTTTTCATCTCTTTCCTTGAAACTCTGCTCTGCTGGTTAAGCTAAATGCATTCTCCTCAGAGGGATGCACTGGTGGTCGAACCAACTTAAAGTTTAAATGTGTTCCCCCCCCCCCCTCCTATGCTTTGTACAGGTTGTCATTGAAGCCTGTCCAGAGAATGGCAAGGACCCAGCGGGAGAGGTGACAAGCAAGAAATTAAGGCGAGCGGTTTTTAATGCGCTTGTTCATCAGTATCGCCCAACTGACTTGTCAAATTCACTCCCGGCATTTGATTCCAACAAGAATATGTACTCCTCTCGGAAGATCACCATAAAACCGCCAGGTCTTTTTGTGACTTTGCCGGAGGAGGATGGCAGGTAAAGACCCAACACAGACCTCGTGCAAGCGCTAAATGAAGCTCTCTTTTTTAATTATTATTATTATTTTTTTTAACCCCCTTCGCTTAATATGGTTTTATCCATGGGAGTCCACGAGGATTCATAGTCCAAACTCATGATATGTTTATTGACAGTGATGTGTGTGCTTGATCTGAGGTGCTTTTTTTCATTGGTTGCTGTCGGTCTTTCTTTGCTGCTTTTTTCTTTTGTGTGGGGGATTTGAGGTCTAGTGTTTCTCAGTTTGTCGCATAACCCTAGCCAACCCAAGCGTTTTGTCCGGTAATGGCATGATTTTTTTCTTTTTTTAAGCTCAGGTTTCAACTAGCAGCGTGACTTATGGTGTGCTCAGTCTTACCAAGTGATATTGTCTCGATTGAGTGTCTCCCCTCCCTCACATCTCTGAGACCCGCCGTGTTTTGCAGGATTGAGCCTTTTTAGTTTGAAATCAAGCTCACTTGGTGAAAATGGTAAACGATGATCTGACAGACCAGTACAATGGGGTTGAGAGGAGAGAGAAGGTTAAGGCAAGCTGACAGTCAATCCTCCACCACACTGGAGTAATCAATGCTGTTCAGGGGTCCTTCGGCCGGACGGAAGGAAGCGTGTGCGAGTTATTTTGATGTAAAACTCTATGACTTGCTGGTGGAAAAGGAACCGGACTGACGCTCCCCAGAATAGGAGCCAGGACCCTAAGGCCCTGTTTTGTGAAAAAAAAAAATAAAAATAAAAAAATCTGTTCCTATGGGTTATCGGTTCAAGTCCGATAGTGAGCATGCTCGCTTGGTGAAAATGGTAAACACGACAGACTAAAACACTTCTTCGGTTCGAGTGAGTCGGGACCATGGCGAATGTATCTAATTCTCTTTCCGTTACACTGGTATCAGAGCGGGAACAGTCCCCGCTCCCACTCACCTCCCATGCAAACCAGCGCTGCGCCAGGAGAAACAGCGGGAAAACCAGCACCGCACCAGGAGAATGACACGTGGCGAAAAAGGAGATCGAGAACACGACGTGTGCGAGCAAGGCCAAAGCCGCCGCATGCGCGCGCGCCATGCGGCCCCGCTGCCCTGCTGAATTGTGCAATTGAAGCGGATATTCAAGAGGGCCTTGCTCTACTTCACCTTGTGCTGATGGGATCTTTCTCTTTTCTGTTCAGACTTTTGAGGTAGGGGTATATTAAGGTAAAGGTCAGGTGATGTCTAATCTTGAGTATGGATAATGGATGGGGATGGCAGTTGAAGATCAGCCCTAACTTTTCTGCAAGCCATGTTTCAGCCTTTCTCTGAGGGGTGCTTGACATTTATAGAAAGAGGGCTTAAACCTTGCTGTCTTTCTGGCATTGACCTTCCTGGATTCTCTTAGGCTGGCCTTGATTGTTCTGGGCCCGGGCACTGTCCAGTATACAAAAAAAAAAGCAAAAGAGAAAACATTCAAAAAAAAAAAACAAAGGTAATGAAAGGAAATAAATGTTGTGGAGAAGAGCATTACAAGCCAACTTTTGGCAAATGATAATTTCCAAATTCCTAGCCAAATTCAAGATGAATACAAATAGGAAAGTAGAAAAACAATAAAGAGTAGTTTAGGCTTGGTGTCCACCTTGGTACCCTGATCCTGTTCTGGACTTGCCGGGCTTTCCAGCGGTGAGGTCGGATCCTGCACTGCACTGTATGGGTTCCCTGCCTGTGTCGGGACCAGGTAAGCCATAGCTGGGTGCGGAAGAATGGTGGGGACAAGACATGCTTGGAGCATATTGGAATGATTTCACTCAATTTGTCGTCCAGTCGCCGCACAGCATGCTCGCACTGAATACGATGAAGCTCGGACACACAAGCAATGAGATGAAACCCACATGAGAACTCGAATAAGTATTAGAACACAAAGAATATCTTAGCAGTTTGAAGTTGAGTACGATTGGCAGCTATGGCTGCCCTTGACTCACCCCAGGTAAGCTCTTCTCTATCCCTCTCTCTCTTATCTCCATTCACTCTTTTTCTCTCAGATAGTTTCCCAATCTGAATGTCTTCAACCTCTCCCCTCCCCGGGCTCATCCTCTCTCTCTGATCTAGGTCCTAGCTGTGACGCAGTGCGCTGCTGACTACCATAGCATATCTGATCAAGTTGCATTTGAAGTAAGCTGCACACGCATATACAGCAGTGCTTCCGCAAGCATTCAAATGAACAGGTGTTTTCTTTTGGCACTGTAGGATCTTTCCGGACGGGTAACGGTCCCGGGCCTGTAGGTTGTGGCTGTTTTGCCTGTACGTGATGTTTCTGAACTTTTTCCTGGATGCTGCTGTTGTGTTTGGGACTGACACTTTGTTGGGACCTACCAGAGATCCTTTCCGGCCTAATTTTGAGGTCCACTGAGAAAGACAACCTTTCTCACCTATTTGCAATCCATATATCCCTCTGAGCCCTTTCATAGTGTGAGACAATGTCAGGGGCTGTCTCCTAGAACTCATTCCTGTTGTACCATCTATCGTCCTCGAGTTCCGGAATCTGGAACCAGACTTTATACTTTGGCTGCAGCCTTTCCCTTGTCATGGTTCTGCGGCCATCTTGATCTTCTGATATAACTGCCATCCATATCCGGGGGAAGCATCGATCTGCGCTTCGAGGTGTGGACACAGGATACGCGTGCATGTAGGGAGGTAGACAACTAGGACGGATCATCTGCATTTCCGATCACATCAATTACTTTCCGCTGTCCCCTTTTTTTTTTTTTTTTCCCCTCCCGAAGGAGGATGCTCGAATCTATTTGTGGGGAGCATCACGTGCTGTGAATTGGGCCCAGCGTCCCTTCAAAAACTTGGAAGAGTTCAGGAATGTACAGGTGCGGGGTCATTACCCAGATTATCGTGAAAGAAGGAACGGAACCAACTGGGACAGCTAGGACCAGAACCAGAACCAGAACCAGAACCAGAACCAGAGCTATTGGATCCACCCTACTTATCCAACTCAACTCACTTTGGCAAGACTTATCACATCAGAGCTACCATCTCTGATGCCAACAATCCAAGAGGACACAATACACCGGACCGACGACTGCCAACCACCTGAGAAATATTTGCAGAATGACCGAAAATATTAATGGATGATCCCTGTCTCCGTCATCGTAGGTATATCCAGACGTCTACTGGCAGCCCAAACTCCAGCCAATACTCGCAAGTATATCCCAAACTCCGCCCTTTCTAAAGAGCCGGCCCTGATTTTATGTCAAGCTAGAATGCTGTCCTCACCGCATAGCCGCCATGACCACCGCGTCTCTGTCATTGAAGGGCACCCAGTGAGGCCATCCCAATGCTGTCCTCGTGAAGAGACCCACTGTCACTAACCATAGCAGAACAGGAGATCATGGTCACCAACGCGGTCCCAAAGGTTTTTGTCTCATCATCGAAGGGGTCGTCAGGCCTTGATCGACTGCCCCTGCAATTGTCCTTCCCCCCCCTCCCCCCTCCCCCCAACAACAACTCGCCGACTCAGTGAGCTCTATTCCAAACAACTACCATCTTCTTCTGAACATAAAGCGTATGCGTTGTAAACAAATACAATGCACAGGTTGCTTTCTATTCGAATACAATGCATATGCATTCTAACGCATATGCATTGTTTTCAATATGTAAATGAATACGACAAATAGGTTTCTCTCTATTCGAATAGAACGCATGCGTTCTATTCAAACAACCCTTATATTTGAATACAATGCATGTGTTCAATTCTAGTCGTCAATTTCTTTTTGGAAACTAGAATACAACGCATACGCGTTCTGTTCGGGGGAAGTTGGTAGTAGGATCAGAGGCCTCAGGTCGTAGCTATGGCACCCTGGGCCAAGCAGCACTCGAAGAAAAACACGCACAAGCATACAACATGGCTTCCGCAACCATTCAAATAAACAGGGATTTTCCTTTTGCAACTGTAGTGGCGTCTTGTACCGTCTGCAGTTGGCAATCTTGGATCATTCCAGACTGGTAACGATCCCTGGCCTGTACGCCATGGTTGTTTTCCCGGTACTGGATGTTTTCAAACTTTCCTTGGATGCTGTTGGTATTTTTGGGACTGTCACTCTGTCGGGAATTGGACTTCCTATAATCTACTGGAGACTTCTATGTGTGACTGGACTCTACAGCAGCATTTCCACATCAGGCCCTCCCTGGTTGGGCTATGTTACATGGGACGCAGGACTTGGGAGGTCTGGGACTAGGCCTGGGACTTACAGGCAAAACGTGTGAAATCCTGTCAGTATGATTGAATTCCTTTCAGTATGAGCCAATGAGGGTATGCTGCAGAAAGGACTGTGAGGTTTAAGAGCAGAACAGAAACATTGAAGTGAAACGAAAGAGGGGATAGACGGGAAGAAGAAGAGATGGGGGTGGCATCAGCAAAGGTTGAGCTATGGTTATCATGACATACACTGTAAATCTGTGGAGATTTTCGCAGTCCGATCTTGCGGATTGGTTGGGTGGAAGAGAAAAGGCAGACCTTTGACATTGCCTTGGGGCTGGCAGAGGTTCCCGAGAGGTGAAGCAGAGAGAGGTATGCAGATGAGAGAAAAGGGGGGAAAGTCAAGCAGAAGCTTCGGCTGCGCTAGTACCAGAAGAAGGTATGCGGGACCTGTATGATGGGACGGGGAAAGGAGTTGAAGAAGGAAAGGAGAAGGGGAAGTGGAAGAAAAGGAGGAGGAGGAGGAGAGACAGAAAGGAAAACCCAATAAATCAATTTGTGGCTTTAATTAATTTGTGAAAGGCATCAGCAAAGTGCTATAACCCACAACAAGATTGCATAATGAACAGGCGTTAATAATTGGTCTGCAATAAATCGCAGTATCCAAGTGGGACTGTACACTAACTGTGTTTGCTGTGTTTGTTTTGGGTGTTGTGGGACTTGATCCCGTGACCTGTAGTGTGTGTGTGGTGTTTCTGTTTTTGAGGTTTATTGGGCTTGAACCTTGAACCTCTCGCTAATAGTCTCTACTTCGTAGTCTTAGGCCTTTTAGCCTTGTTGTTTTGTCCTTTTCTTCCCTTCTGGAAACTGGTAGGCCCGTAGGTCTTTCTTTTGTGTGTCCTCGTCTTGGGTTCCCTTAGTCTAGGTTTCCATCTAGATGCATGTAGGTAGATCTCGACTGTTTGGCCATATATGTTTGCTGTTTGGACGGTCAGATAGGTCTGTAGGTGGCTGCTGTGTTGTAGGTCTACGGAAGTCAGGTAGAAGTAGGCAGAGGCCGGCGAATTTGGGGTTCTTTTCATTGCTTTTCCTTTCACGGTCTCGGTGGAGGTCGCGTTGCTTCCCTGCTGTGCTATTGTGGGCCCAGGGCATCTTCTCCACATGTCGCTGGTGGCCATAGCTGGGGCCGTCCAGCTCCATTGGTGACAGCTCTGGGCTCGACGCCCAAGTGCTGATGAGCACTTCCTCGTGTTCGTGTGCTTGTTGGGGTTTGTTCAGCTGCCACCGAAGCTGCACTTTCATCGGTTCTTCTTCGATGTGGCATATATTCATCTTTATCGAGTTGCTGTTCTTCTTCATCATCCTGGGAGCTGCGCTCCCCTCCTGAGTGGACACTTCATCTGCAGTGGGCTTGAGTGGTGCAGAGAGGGGTGTTGGATTTAGGAGGGAATGTGGCGATTGGCAGGCTTGATAGGTTGGGTGCTTGCAAGCACTGTAGCTAGAGCTTGAGGAAGAGGGAGGAAGAAGAAGAATCCTGGATACTGCGATGAAACCTTGTAAATCGTTGGTCCGTGGGTGTTAATAACGTGGTTGGGATCCTTGGAAATTCGTGCTGTTGATTGACTTGGGGAGAGATGGTAATTAGAATTGATTTTCATTTCAAGGAAAGTATGGATGCCATGTTGGATCTCGTTTCAATCAGGCACATAACATGTCTAACTGAATTGTTCCGATTGGATTGAGAAGGTACTGAAATGTCACTTGTCATTGCACATGTGTATGGGAACATGTGGATGCCATGTTGGGATGTCAAGTATATAGAGAAAGTGCTCCCGGCAAACATTTCTGAATGGGGGTGACGTATGGATGGAGCAGAGGAGGAGAATAATGAGAATCCAAATAGTCTATCACACCCCTGGTGTGAGTATGCCCTAATGTACTTGATTGTGTGTCTCATGCTAGTTCGAATGACATTTGGAGTGCTCTACCTTGGAGGAACACTCTGCCTGAATGTTTGCCAAGCCTGAAGTTTTGATTAAAAGAAAACAATTCATGTTATTGACAAGTGGTGATAATTTCATCATTGAGCAGGGACCGGCAAAGAAAGTTCAGGGTGGAGATCAAGCTGGTTCGGGTCTTGGATGGTTCTGCCATGCAGGAGTACATAGCTGGCAGGAGTGAAGCCCCGCCACAGGATGTTATCAATGCATTAGATATCGTCTTGAAAGAGGCTGGCCTCAGATGCGGGTAAGCGAAGCAGATGCGTTTCCCCACCCTTCTACTGATATGGTCCCACGATTGCACAAAAATGCCCAATCTGTCGCCCATCGTTATTGATACAAGTGAGGAAAAAGGGTAACTGGATGTAGTTAAGGATATGTGTAATGACCCGTCATCACACGGACTGTAACAGACAGCTGATTTCTGAGTTTGCTCGTGGAATGCATGCCGTACTAAGTCCCCTGCCTGTTGAGTGGGTTGTGTTGGGTCTGAGTGCGTGCCTGTATGTGGTTGGYGTGCCTGGGTGATGAATGCGTGCCTGACTGAGTGCTTGAGTGTGTGTGTGACCCCGTCGGGGCCATGGATGTTGGGCAGGCCCGGTAGGGCCGGTACTTACCT